CAAATGCGAAACGGCAAAAGGTGGAGCCGACGACCCCGTTGGAGAAGGGACGTGATCTGAGAGACAAGCTTCTGAAGAAGGTGACCACTACCACGACGCTGGAAACCCAGCTGACCAGCGTGCCTTTTGCCGACAAGTTGCTCGAGGGGATCAGAGCTGATCTGGCGACTTTTCGGTGTTTTGGCAGCATTCTCACATGTAGGGTGAGGTTCGGCTGCTTTGCGCCGCCCACCCTTTAAACATTCTTCTATCGGCTGTTGGCACATCGCCACGCCGATCTGATGCTTGCCAACTTCACCCCGCTGCCAGCTAGGGGCCGTGTACTTAAGTTTTTCGGTAAATCACACGAGGACCCACTATGCTGCTGTGAATGCGCTGGTGGAGAAGAAGGTGGACCAGGAGATCATGCTTGCCTCGTGTGGGTCGACCTGTCGCATCGACCTTGTGATGTGCCCTGCATGCCAGGAATCGGCCTACCTTCCCTACGTGAGGCAACATCTTGAGCATTTGAAGATTTTCGCGGGTCATGAGACCGCTGCTGATGCCTTGGTGAAATCACAAAAGCCGAAGCCGGCGAAAACGGCGAAAGCCAAAAGCAAGCCGGTTCAGGAATGTGTCGCCTAATCATGATGCCTTGATGTTGTGAACCTAGGCCATCGTTAACAGTATGTGTACAGGCCATGCTGCACTGCATGAACTTTGTCTTGAAATCGTGGCACATGATTTGGACGAGGCGTCTTGCTAGGATATATCATCCTGAGAACTTTTGTCACACATGCACAGCCATGCACCGCCGCAAGCGTGGTGACTAGATGTCAAGCGTGGAACAGAACACGGCTTCTGCAAACTGCAGTCCTGCAAACGGCATTATTAGACTTCCGGTGGAGATTGCTCCCTGGACAGACTTCTGCTGGAGATGCTCCCTGGATGTCACTGCTATGATTCTTATGAGATCATTGCCCGATCAGCTGTTCCTCGCACTTCACATGTGCTGTGAATACCGTGTCCGACTCGACTGCGTTGGGGCGCTGTTCGAGAAAGGTGTGCATTTAATGGTACGTAGCCCGCTAGGCTGCTTTCGAAGTTTCCAAGATGTTGCGGCACCTGCAAGTGTCAACATGCCGTCCATATGTCTTTCCTTTCCATGGCCACGCAGGTCAGCTGCTTCGCGGGCCACATCTTCCTCGCTCCTCGATCGACTAGATTCATATTCATATTTGCAAC